CCCCAAAACCCCAAAACCCCAAAACCCCAAAACCCCAAAACCCCTTTCTTAAGGAAAAAAGTTGATGGGATTATAAATTAAAATAATAATCATGAGCACCTTTGGCTACATTTTTGGAGCAGGAAATAATGAAGGTAAGGCCTCACTTAGAACACACTCAATGCTACCTAGTTGGTGCCCCAATTCGTCATAGCTATTCTTAAGCGGATAAGGTGTTTTAGGCACATAGATGTTGCCTACTGTTTATTCAGGCTCTGTCAGGATCAGCATTAATCACCTAAAATCAATAAATTTAAACTTTTATTAGAGAAGAGGAAGGAACCTGAAATGAAAATAGGCAAAAGCAAGGCAGACAAGATTCCTGTTGTTATTGAATATATCTTGAAATAATACTGTACCTGGAGCAGGCCCAGCGATCTTCTGTTTGAAACTACTTGTTCCAGAAGACTACACATTCTTCGACTTCACCATGGCTGTGAGAAAGAAGGTAAGGCTCCTTCAAATATCAGCTTCGTTTTATTTCCCTTGACTTATGGTTTTAGTAGCTTAAATGAGGGTTTCTCAACCTTAGATGCTCCTAATGGCTTGGAAGAAGGCAAGAAGCCCTTTCCATAATGTTTTAAATGGGAATTCTTGGTCTGAGAGAGGCTTTCAGCAAAATTTGTAGCAATAGCCCATTTTTCATTGATAATATGCCGAAGTAAGGCTCAGATGGTTGTGGGTGTTCTGTACAATTTTAAGTAATGATTTCACCAGCTGTAGTCTTTATTCACGTGGTTATATCCTTGAACCATGAGTGGCTTAAGTAATAAAGCTTGCTGCTCTAGCAGTCTTTTTGATGATTAGATTCCTTAAATGGAGGAGTAACTGTATTATTTACCCAAATTTATTCAGAAAATTTCTACTTTAGCAAAAATAAAGATCATCTGCTTTATTCTGAGCTGATAGAACAGAAAAACATCAGATTTTGGCTTTAATAATGATCTCAATAAGCTATCAACTACAGAATCAGACCTGAATAGCTCTGACTTACAATATAACTCTCTCTTATTTCCCTTAAGCATGGTTTCTTCACAACATACCAAAACAACTCAGTATCATCTCTGCTAACCCTCTTGCCTAATTCTGGGTAGAAATATGTCTAAATCCTAGCTGGTACTTAACTTTGTAGTCTCTACTTTAATCCTGAGCTAAAAGTCCTTCAGCTTAGGTTGTTCCGCTTAAAATTTCTTCCTTTAAATTCCAGGCTTTTTATTCTGGACATAGATAGTCCCACACACAAGTTTAGGCTGCCTTCTTAGAGCTTGATGCATGTCAGCAGACTCTTTTGGGAATTCTGGGTGAAATAATTGGGTATAGATTCAAGCAGGAGCTGAAGAAAGCCTCGCCTTATTTGTCAATGGCTGGACACTATTCCAAGGCAGCAAACCCATGAAGGAAATCTTTACCGTACATAAAGCCTCAGATGGGATCCTGTACAGCAAAATGGTCCTTGAGAACTTTCTAGGATAACCTCAATTTATCTAACTACAAAAGGGGTTTTGGGGTTTTGGGGTTTTGGGGTTTTGGGGTTTTGGGG